TCAAAATTACATTGTTTTTAAACAGAGCAACGCCCAAGAAGTCTTGAGCAAGTGGACTCCTAAAATTACATTTTTCCTTTACTATTTTACTTTCTGTATTTGACATATTTTACCCTTCAGAACTATGTTTCAAATCCATTAAAACCACGCAGTTCTGTCAGCCCATTAAATATGACTAAGCAAACAGCCAAGCAGCTATTTTTTAGCCAAAAACTCCCACAAAACTCAATCACACAAAGGTTATTTTCTGTGTCAGACAAACCAAGCCCCATGAAACTGTGTGTGCATCTGCAGTCAAGCAGACCAGGTAAACATTGACTCTCATCACCATTACGTTCTGTAATACTGGCCAAATATTTCTTATAAGTATCAGGCCCTCAACATTAAAGACAAAGTGCACTGCTATCAAATGTTTCGTAAGGAGCACAGCAAGATAATCGAACTCGTTTTTTAAATTAATTTTCTTCATTACAAACAAAATGAATTACTGAATTTACTGTGGATCACAACAGGCTATGGGGGACGTGTGGGTGGGTAGGAAAGAAAAGAAAAAGAAAAAAATGAATTTACTATGTACTTAAATTGAATACTTTTCTTAGACAAGTACTATTCAACCTCTGTTGTGAAGGATCCCAATCCACTGTGGACCAACACTTTTGTAAAATATAATGGAAAGGGTATGGCAATGTCAAATCGCTATAAACGTTTCTAACTACTCACTTTTTGAACTTAATGCATCACAAACAGAAACAAATATTTTGAAGATCAGCACTGGTGGGCAAAACACATTTTGAGTAGCGTTGATTCAGATAAGTAGGACTAATATTTTTAAGTTCTTAAAATTAGCTAGTCATCAATCATTCCAAATATATCACCATAATTTACAACACATTTTAATTTACCTTAGGAAAATACTTGTATAGTCCCATGTACGCAAGTTGTAAAGTAAGAAATGGAGCAAATATGGACTGTGAAGACAGAAGACAAAATTAAATACATCTAACATAATCATTCAAATCGCAATAAATCAAACTAACAGCAGCTATAAAATTCCAAGCAAAAAAAACTATAACAAAATATTTAATGTTAGCGGTTAAAAGGTAATCTTGTTTCTGCAAAAGGGTGAAGAAAATAAAGAGATCTGATTTCCTAAACATAAGACATGTTTCTCACGTTATGCCATTCTTTCAGTGTCCCAAAAAATGTCTCTCAGAAAAACTTATTTTTTGGCCAGGTATGGTCGGTGGCTCACACCTGTAACCCTAGCACTCTGGGAGGCCAAGGTGGGAGTATTGCTTGAGATCAGCCTGAGCAAGAGTGAGATCCTGTCTCTACTAAAAATAGAAAAATTAGCTGGGCATCATGGCACACACCTGTAGTCCTAGCTACTTGGGAGGCTGAGGTAGGAGGATTACATGAGCCCAGGAGTTTTGAGGTTGCAGTGAGCTATGCTGACACCCATTGCACTCTACTAGGGGCAACAGAGCAAGGCTCTGTCTCAAAACAAATAAAAAAAACAACTTATCTTTTAATTATTTAAAGTATGAAATGGTGACAGATGTATAACACATCATGCAGTAAAATCTCCCTCTCCTAGAGGAAATTAAATGGCATCCTGCGAGCACACATAAAAGGCCCAGCACTCAGAATAGACACCATTCATCCTTAGACTTTGGGGCAAGGAGTTAACTCACACAGCTACAATTTATGGTCCTCAAATGAGCTACTCTTACTAGACGTAAAATGGCTTGGTGATCTAGCCTCTCAAACAAAATAGAAAAGATCAAAATAACAATTTACATAGTTATTTTTAAAATTAAAAATATTATGATGGGCGTGAAAGAGCAAACATCACTAGATGGCAGTAATGAGAAATAAACAGTTGAAAATCTGACAGCAAAGAAAATTAGAAAACAAAAACAAAACACCTCACATAAAAAGAGGCACTAAAATAGGACATAACTTTAAAAGCATGAAAGCACAGAGCCCTTTAGATAAGAAACAAAAAGAGCTATACAGCTCCCTAATGCGAAAGCATCATTGATCTTTGCTATGATGACAATTTATCATCAGGGGAAAAAAATCAAATCTCTTCAACATTCTGTTTACAAAAATATTTGCATAAAAATACATCCTAAAAAACTGTTTTGCTTAATGATATAAACCTTATTTGGAAAACTTATATATGTGCCTGGTATGTGGTAGGTATTCTTAAAATGTCTACTGAATGTAAATACCTCAAAGAGCAAGATGCTAACTATGAGCTATGCTTTTCTGCATTCTTCCACATACTGTAAAACAAAAGGACCACATCATGGTACAACAAAAATGGACTGTCATCATGATACTACCACAACATTGTAAAATGCTGAAATGCCTTCTGAACCATAGGAAAATTACCTCATATGCAGCACCACAGGAACCAAATTTTAACGTTTCAAATTATTTAAAAATTGGTAATTAATATATAGTACATGTAGGCACTTAACCCTTTGGTTCTGGAATGAAATTGGCTGGGTTTAATCTGAGGTGTCTGTGTGACCTTGGGAAAACGATGGAACCTCTGAGTCTTTATTCCCTCATAGATTCCAATGATACCTAGTTCATGAGGAAGAGGATTAAATGCAGTAATATATGCAAAACATTTAAAATAGTACCTGGCATGTAGAAAGAGATTACTACAGTCATCCTGTGGTATCTAAGGAAGATTGGTTCCAGGAACTCCTTCAGACACCAAAAGCCACAGACACTCAAGTCCCTTATTTAAAATGGTGTAGTATCTGCATATTATCTACACACTTCCGCCCATATACTTTAAATCACTTCTAGATTACTTGACACCTAATACAATGTAAATGCTGTATAGTTTTTATACTAGATTTTTTTATTTGTATTTTCTGTTACATTTTTAATTTTTTTCCCCAAATACTTTTGATCCGCAGTTGGTTGAATCCACGGAAGTGGAACCAACCTTACAAAACATATAGATATGAAGAGCCAAATGTAATTATCAGCATTAGGCTCTATATTTAATCAGAACACCTCATTCTGTAACTAAGACGGATGGCAGAGTTTATAACACATCTCCAAACAACCATGTGGATCTAGTAGATATTGATATTGGCAATGATTCTATGGATTAGAAGCACTCATTATTATAACCAATTTCCATTTTCCATTAAGTTAATTAACAGTTTACAGCTCTTTTCTTACCAAGTATTTGCAAACAAAAGCTCTGACTCCAAGAGCAAGAAGTGCACATCCCACCAATCTAAATATTCGAAAAGAATCAAATTCTTCTGTTGTACTTCCATCTTCTTGATTGGGTTTCTCACTAATCAGCTGTTTCCTTAGCTTCATTGCTTCTTCAAATCTGGAAAGGTACTGTTCCAGGCCATGGCGAGAACCCCTCTGGCCGGTGTCTGCTGTCAGGTCCCCTCTGTTCCGCTGCCGGAGCTCAAGGTTGACATCATTATTGCACTCGGGTGGTTTAACGAAAGAGTCCAGTTTGTCTCCCACTTGGGTCCCCTTTACCTCAGCCACAGCACCCTGCTGGTCAGTCGTTCCTGTACTGACTGAATCACCCAGCACTACTCGCTTTGAAACTGAAGGAACGCTGAGGGAGTTCAGTTTATCACTGTCCTGCTGCTTTGATTTTGTTTGACTTTCTTCTTCTGAGAAAAAAAATTTAAAAGCCTTATGTACTATATACTGGTAAACATCTTACAAGCTAATATTTAAAAATGTGCTGCTGCAGCCAGAACACAGTCTCTGAAATGAAATAAATACTGATTGCTTCTTCGTAAAACAAAAATTAGTTCCTTCCTCTACATCCTCAAAATATATCACCCAAAAAGTATTCCTGCAGAGGAAATAACCCAAACTTCATGGTAGGAGATAAGACTAGTAAACAAACTGGGAAAGATATTCAGGGATGAAGCAAGCTGTAAAGACCAAATTTTCATGGATAATATATCCCAGAAATATGACTGCATTGCCTGCTCTAGCTTATTTGGTTAAAAACATAAAATTATTAAAACTTTTATAACTCTGTACTTTAAAATCTGATTTCTGAATCCAGAGACCTGTGAGCACAGGGTGTGGCACATCCTACAGCTACTGTTTATGTGGCAGGGCAGCCATTAGTAGGTACTTCAGCAGTTCTAGGATGCTGCTCTGGTTTTTGAAAAGAAAAACAAAAGAAAAACTTTAAAGACATAAAATTTTCAAACCAAAAGAACAAAATATAGAAAGTACCTCAAGAAACATAATAAATGGGAAAGAATAAATACCCTGATAGAAAAACGTTCCTTCTAATTTTTGTTCTAGAAGAATTTGAAATGGTGCTCTTACATCTCGTTTGGACTGTCCAGAAGTTCAGAGGTATGTATCTAAAGCCTCACAAAACAAGTCACAAAGATCTAAAGAGCTTGCGACCAATGACTAGAGGTCAATTATTAAAGGAAACAGTGGAATACTAAGGCCATACTAAGCGTTCAATTATATTCACATGAAAAAAAATTTTTTAAGCGTCTCACTGGACATGTCTTTGGGGAGAAATCAGAAACTCTCCTGCAGGCTTGAATGCAGCTCTAAACATCAATCCCATCAACCCGGGCTAATGAAGAGAAGAAACCTCAGCTACGCATGTCGCACTTGTTGGGTCGACACAGAACGCTCACTCCTACTTTTCCCACCTCTTCTAGAAAGCCCACAGGTGACAGAGCTGGGGGCACTGAACACAGACCGTGAGATAGGACCCCAAGAGTCTGATCCACGTAGGACGGACTAGGTGGTAGTTCGGTAAAGACAAGCTGACTGGGACGGAGAATTACACAGGAAAAGGCAAAAGACGGCAGACGCTAGGGAAGGCGCTGGAAGGAAAAGCACCCGGAATGTTAAGGCAGGAAAGCAACCCGCCCGAGGGGCGCAGTGGGCAAGGAAGTCTGGGGACAAAATGTGCGCCCTTCAAGGGAGGCGCGGGCGTGGGTAAGGCGGAAAGGGGCCCTCTCAAGGAACTGGCCAGGGGGTTTCAGGAGAGAGGGCTTTGCGGCCGCGGTGGGCACGATCTCGGGGCGAAGCCCCTGGAAAGCTGGGGGAGCGGCTGGAAACGTTCCGGGGTTAAGGAGCGAACGTGGGCCATCAGCTAAGGGGCGGGGACGGGGCGAGGTCAGAGAGCAGGGCTCGGTCAGGAAGGTCAACCGAGTGGGGGCGGGGGCAGAGAAGAGGGATCCGGAAGATTTAAAGGGGTGGACGGGAGACCGAGAGGCAAAGGAGACTCTCACCCGCGCCGCCCGCGGGCCTGTGAAAGCCCATGATCCGGTTGATGCGCTGTTCCGAGTTCATGAGGAGCTTTCTCCGCCGCAGTTCGGCCCGACGCTGGGAAGCCGACAGGCCTGAGCCTGCTGGGACCCCCGACCTGTCCCCACCGTCGGTAGCGACGGCCACCGACTCCATCCTCCCCTACAGAGTCTGGGAGTGGCGGTGGTGGCGGTGGTGGCTGCAGCTGTGGCGCGACCGACCTGAGGCAGGGCCGCAGGGCGCGCGTCCCCCTCCCGCCGTAGATCCGCCCCCGAGCGCGGTGCGGAGCCGGCGAGCTAAGCATGCGCGCGCCGCCCGGCGGGACCTAGCGAGGCTCTGGCCGCCATCTTGAGTGAGGGCAGCGCGAGACGCCCCGTTCTACCCCCCCCCGCCTGGCTGGCCCAAATTTCTCCCCTAAGCCACTGGGCGCCCTCTGCTGTTCACTCGGAGGTGAAGCAAGCCGGCACCGAGCCTGAGGGGTGGGAAAGGGAGGGCAGTGACGCGTAGGCCCGGCCAAGACTGGTGCCCGGAAGCAAAATGGCGGCTGCGGCGGCAGGCGCTTGTTCTCCGACCCGCGGCGTCGCTCATAGGACATAGAAATACAAAGCTTTGGGAGCGATGCTTAAGGGCACGTTAAACTGGGATTTCTGCTTCGTGGTATTCTTCATCTTGAATACTGCACTTCCCCCAAGTATATGGCTGGTTTGTTCCCAGGTTTTCCTCACCCTTTTGTCCAAATCAAACTTTCCTAGTGAAGCCTTTCGTGTCCATTTTATCAATATTGCCAACACTCCCCATTCCGTTTTTCCCCGTTAGTTTCCTCCTTAGCACTTGGAACCACCTTGCATGCTAAAGGTGCTGATTTTGTTTATCGTCTGTTTCTCACTAACTAGAATGTAAGCCCCAAGGAGGCAAGCACTGCGCTTTGTTCAGTGCTGCGGTTCCTAGAACACACTAGTGTGGCCACACTGCAGGGTCAGCTTGCCCCGGTAGGCACTGTAGGCCAAGTGGGAGGGCCCCGGGTAGTCCGGGGGGGCCCACGAAAAGGTTTTAATTTTTATCTCTTTTAAAATCAGAAGAAAGATAATAGTTACTATATAATAATGAATCCAATCTGAATTATAGTCGTCATGATAGCAAGACAGTCATAAAATATAATTTTAAGTTGTGTTTTTATGGAGGAAGGAGCCCAAGAAGGCAGAAGTGCCCAGGGCCCATGACAGTCACAATGTAGCCCCGGGATTAAGCGGGAGTGAATGAGTAAATGAATGAAGGAATTGAATCCATCAACCCTTGCGGTGAGGGCTCCTGGCCAGTTCACGCCTGAGGGTGCAGAGGAGGAAGCAGCCCACTGGGCCCCCCTGCAACAGTCTGCCGCACAGTGACCCTCAAAATCAGGAATCGGGTGAAACCCTACTTAGAAGATTTTTAAAAATACTATATTCATATTGAAAAAGAAGTGAAAACAAACAAAATCCTTGGTTTGGATTCAACAACATAAAGAGTTCAAGAAAGAGTATAAAGACTAAACTTTCACCCTTAACTGATAAAAGTTAAATCCAAGGGGCATGCCCTAGTCCATAATTTTAAAGCACTTAGAGGAGGTTCCCCTGCATGTGTGCACAGACTTAGATCTCTGAGGCTAGACTGTGCCTTAAAAAGATTCTCCACACAATTGAATATTACCACAAAAAAATAATTGTGAAATAGCAACAAATGTGTAGAACTTGATAAGACACGGACCTAATGAATCAAGACAGTACCAGAAAGGGCTTGAGGGGCCAGCTCCATGGGATGCTGAAGTGGGAGGATCGTTTGAGCCCGGGAGTTAGAGACCAGCCTGGAGCCTGGGCAACATAATCAGACCCCCATCTCGGAAAAAAAAAAGAAAAAAGGAGGACAGCTTTGTATGCAAGGTTCCCAGTAAATAGTATAATTACCCAGTCTCAAATTGAGTATTTTGTTGCTTTTTTTTTAAGGCTAATTTTTTACTTCCTCTGAGCCAGATATAGACACCTCACAATTTTGCTTGAATTTTGAAGGAATTCAGAACATACCACCTCAAAATATGCTGCTCTGGCATATTGACTTCGTTGAGTTAGCACTTGAAGAACAGCAGATACAAGGACACTCTGATCCTATTGCTTTTCTTAAAAATAGGACGTGAAATACCAATGTGACAGCTGTCTTCCCAATACTGGGAGAAAAGAAACATTCTCATCCAAGACAAGAAGCTGAGACCAAGAGAATTCTGTACAAAGACACTGTTAAAATAATTCTTTTTTTTAGCTTCCATATATATTTTAGTTACTTTTCCACAATTACCTCTCTTTGGTCAACATAGTATGAAAGCATTTGGGTTTTCCCACTTCTTTGGGTCTTCATTTCCTTATGAGAGTTCCCAGGGTCAGATGAAACTTATGTTAAATAAATGTATATGCTTTTCTCCTATTAATTTGTTTTATCCCAATTTAATTCTCAGATCCAGCCAGAGACTTTAGGAGGCTTGAGGTAGTTTTGCCTCCCCTACAATTTACATATAGGAGACTTTCAGTAGTATGTTATGGTAGCTCTTACAGGTGTCTTGGGGGAAAAAGACACGGTTACCAAAAGAGCCAAATGATTTTGTCCCAATCCACAATATCCACACATTCCTTCTTTCTTTCTCTTTCTTTTTTTTTCTTTTTTCTTTCCTTCCTTCCTCCCCTCCTCCCTTCCCTCCCTCCCTTCCTTCCTTCTTCTTTCTTTCTTTCTTTTCTTGCTTAACAGGATTGTGCTCTGATGCCCAGGCTGGAGTGCAGTGGCACGATCCTAGCTTACTGCAACCTCAAACTCCTGAACACAATCGCTCCTCCTGCCTCAGCCTCCTGAGCAGCAGGGACCGCAACTAATTTTTCTACTTTTTTGTAGAGAAGTGGTCTTGCCGCGTTGCTCAGGCTGGTCTTGAACTCCTGGTCTCAAGTCGATCCTCCTGCCTGACATCCCAAAGTGCTAGGATTATAGGTGTGACCTGTGACACCTGGCCAGTATCCACACATTTATAGTAATTTTTAGTATGGCCGTAAGTAATGCAGAACAAAATATTCAAAACCACCTAAAATTAGATTTATTTCATGAGGTTCATTACCTGGCTATTAGCTGCGTCCAAATTGCCCCCTGAAAACCGTCTTTAGCGTTCAGTGCCCTCACGCTATCACCATCTTTCAGACTCTCCCTCTAGGTTCACCCCCGCTCCAGTACTACCTTTCTCCTCTCACTGCAAACTGTGAGAAACAGAAAATGTCAGGCTGTAGGTCATCTTATTATCCAAATAAAGTAGTGGCAATTTTGACATCTATATTCTATTTTGAGGTTGTTCAGTTACAGAAAGACTGAGAAAAGGCATTTTGTGTATGCCCAGCCTGCGCAAGTTCTCTACCGTACCTCGTTCTGCAGGGTAGCTTGGAGACGCTGGCCTCAGCCATATGCTTCCCCTCGCTTTGAAGCTTTATTTTCTCCTGTAAGCTGCTGGGGGTGGAGCAGAACTAGCCCTAGGGTTTACCACCCTTTCCTCCCCATTAGATTTATGTTAGGTTTATTTACAACTACACATTTATTCACAGATTAGATGTATTGATACACTGTGTCAGTTTGCATACACCCCTTAATGTATAATAGAGTTTGAATTGCTACGAATCTTTTTTTTAAGAGATGGGGTCTCACTATGTTGTTCATAGCCTTTTTCTTGTTGCTTAGTTTTATACAATCCTGGGATGAACAGTTTATTCTCAGGGCAATGTGAAAATAAACAACTTTTTAAAAATAAGGTGGGGTTTTGTTCTGTTGCCCATGCTGGACTTGAAAACCTGGCCTCAAGCAGTCCTCCTGCCTTAGCCTCCTGAATAGCGGGGTCTGCAGCCTCCCATCACTGTACCCAGCTGAATTGCTAAGAATCTTATTGTTCTATTTATTTATTTATTTTTTTTAAGGGTCTCATCCGGTCACCCAGGCTGGAGTACAGCGGCACAATCATAGCTCACTGCAACCTTGAACTCTCAAGCTGAAGTGATCCTCCTCCCTCAGCTTTCCAAGTAGCTGGGATTACAGGGACATGCCACTTGACGCCCCACTAATTTTTTTTATTTTTGTAGATATGGGGCCTCACTATGTTGCCCAGGCTAGTCTTGAATTCCTGGCCTCAGGCAATCCTTCCATCTTGCTCCCAAAGCGCTGGGATTAAAAACATGAGCCACTGCAACTGCCCGGATCTTATCCTTCCAAATGATAGCATAGTTTGATGTCACCATGGGGAACCATGACTGGGAGAAGTGCTAATTATGACAGATTAATCCTGCTAACAAATATAAAGAAATAATCCCTATTCATGAAGACAGAAACATGTAGTAAATTATAACACGCTGATGGTAAATTAGTATTGTCACAATATGTATTAGGAATTTTTAAAAATTGCCTTTTGATTTATTAGTCAATTAAGATTTACCATAAGTAAATTATTCCCAAGAAGGAAAATACTGTATAAAGATATTCAATGAATAACTGAAAACTTGGAATTAGCTCATATTTCCAATATTGGGAGAAAAAATAAGGACTTATTAAATAGCCAATAATGTCCTATTATGCAAACATTAACAATGATAAAGATAAAGCAATATGTATAATGATGTATAATGCAAAATTGAATCTTAAGTATGATTTAAGAGTATACACAATTTATATGCATATGAACAAAGACTGGAAGGGAATGGGGAATATACAAAAAGATTTCTTGTGACTGTGGATGGACTTTCTGGTTTCACTAATAAATTACGTTTGGAGTTGTTCATTCATCAGTTATTCTGAATACCTACTATACCAGCTAAGCTAGTTAAGAGTGTTAAATTTTCAAGTGGAAACAGATTCCCAGAACAATCCTCCCCTAATTCAGAATCTCACCAGTTATCCAAAATAGTAGTATATTCCCATAATCCCTAGGAGTCAGACCTTCAAATTTGCATTCATAAAGCAATTGTGAAGCCCTCTTTGGACTGTAACTAAGTGAACATTTGAAAAAAGAAATGTTAAGTTATAAGAAGAAATTCATATTTAGAGAGGTCCAGTCTCCTCTCATCTGTAATCAAGGTCTTAAGGAAACAGAACCGTAATTTAGGGTCCTGGTTATTTACCTAGAGAAACGTATAACCTCATAAATACACAAGTAACAACATGCCTCTCCTTTAAAAAATTCTCGTCTCCTTCCATAACAAAGTTGGCCAAATACAATTCCAGGATAAACAAAAGATGTTTTATTTGAGAGAGGCTAGAGAAGCCAGATGAAAGTTTCAGTTCTTTAGATAGATGTGTTGATGTATATGGCTCATTTAGTCAGCTAAGAGTGTCAAGATTTCATATTAATTGCTTATCTATCCCTGGTGAACATTTTTCTGGTGAAATTTTCAATTAATAGTTTATTAGTTTATTAATTGTCCTTCCTAGCACAGTTCAGTGGTATATGTGATGTGATTATTTGATAAATGATATACATACTTTTGATTCTTGTGTTAATTTCTATCTTCCTTATTATAGACTTTATAAGGGCTAGCCCATCCTCTTTTTTTTTAAAGACAGAGAAAGAGTCTTGCTATGTTGCCCAGGCTGGACTGGAACTCCTGGGCTCAAGTAATCCTCAGCCTCCTGCACAGCTGGGACTATAGGCACATGCCACCATGCCCCTCCCACCTGTTTTTTGAAATGTACCACTTTGCTCCAAGTCTAGCACTGAGCATACTAAATTTACTAGAATATTTTACAGAAATTTTTTTTCAGTGGAAGTGTCAAACTTTGGCATTTTCAATGAGTTTTTCATGTAATTTTTATTTGATCCTAGTATTTTTATAGGTA